CTTGAGACAAAGAAAATGAAAGATCAGTTCTACAGGGAGATTTGCTATTTCTTTGATGAATCACTTTATATTCTGCCCGTGGAGGGAAGGCAGCCCAGGGCAAGACAACTCTTTTCCCAACCCAAAGATCAGCAAGATTGTCATGTGATGGAAATCTCATTTTTTAAACAGCTCTGTGGGTGAGATAGTGAATCTGTTTCCCATTTAGAGCTGCATGCATCATCATAAAACATTTTTTATTCTAACTAAGGGAATTTCATAACCAAGAAAGCTTTGTCCAAAAGCACCACAAAGATTCTTAGCACTTCCCACATCTCAGAACCGTTACTGTTTGGTGTTCTTACCTGTGCTCATTTGCTGTGACAGAGTTAAGTTATCATTCATGGAAGAAACTCCAATGGAATTCACGGCTAAAACTGTAATGGTGTGTGTGTGTTCAGTCCATGGGAAGGAGCAGGTCGTGCCATTCTCAACATCCTCTGACCAGGAGGTGTTTGCTGCTGTCTGATGCCTGACAACGTATCGGCTCACGCTGCACAGCGAGTGATTCTCCACCAGCGGCTGCAGCAAACAGTGGCAATTCATTCCTTCCTTCCCCAGTCTTTGATTTCAAACCCAAATCCCATTTGGGCAGAAGGTCCTGTTCCACTTTTAAGAAAACATGAGCCAATAAAGACCTTCTGCAGACTGGCTGCTGTCCCTTCAGCAAAGGCAGGAGAGTCCATTTACAGAGTTTGTTTCTGCCGCAGCCCTGGCCGTGCTCCCGCTGGAGGGAGGGCAGGGGGGACAGGGAATACAAGCTGCCAGGCTCCTGCAGGAACTCACTGGTTTACCTCAGCATTTTTCAGGACTGAAAAACCAGACCAGATGACTGTTTACACACTGAACGTGGGCAAACAGGAGTGGGCAGCCACCGAGGTACCTTTTTTCCCCCTCTGTTCTGCATTAACCTCTTCCCGTCGCTTTGCCCAGTTTACACCAGTTGCAGTGGTGTGTGTACAGGCAGCTGCCCAGGAGCCAGAGAGACACTCTGCTCTGAGATCTTGGTCAGTAGAGTTTGGCAGAGGAAGACTGCACCTCTCACTGTAACTGACAGTGTCTGATCCCATGTTATTCTGAGAACAAAGAGTAAGTCTCCAACTGTGACCTCCAAGTCGTAGAATCATAGAATCCCAGACTGGTTGGGGTTGGGAGGGCCCTTACAGCTCAGTCAATTCCCCCTGTCCCCTCTGTATGGGCAGGGACACCTCCCACCAGCCCAGGTTGCTCAGAGCCCCATCCAACCTGCCCTTCAACACTTCCAGGGATGTGGCAGCCACAGCTTCTCTGGGCAGCCTGGGCCAGGGTCTCTCCACCTTCACAGGGAAGAGCTTCTTCCTAAGACCTCATCTCCATCTCCCCTCTTCCAGTTCTTAAGCCCCATAAACAGCAACTGCCCAAGTTTTCCTCCCTGGGCAGTGTGTGGTTCTCATACTTCCTTTTTGGCAATTCTACCAACGTTTTTTTGGATGGATCAAAGTGGAAGAACAAAATGTAATGGTTCTCACCTTCCACAGGAGTGTAACGTTCTTCTGCCCCCTTGCTGGATCTTCAGTGATGATTCTCCAGAAGTCAGGACCACGTAAGGGAGCTGCAGGATGACAGTTTTGAAAGAACAGTGTCACACCTCAGCTTGAAACTGGGCAGAGCATGAGAACACGCTCTGGAAGGACCCATACCTTTGATATCTCTTACAAGGGTGTAGGCTGCTCTGCTCCAGTTGCTCCAGTAACCCGACCCATCCAGCTCCCTGCACCGCACCTGAACAACGTACTGAACGCAAAGCTTCTGAACCTTTATCACGGCTGATCTTGGTGCATTTGAAACTTCATAAACCTGTAACAGAAGTCAGAATATCCAGAGTAAGAACAAAAGGCTGTTTAGGCAGCTGTTAAGAGTCCAAATTCCTGAAAATTCATCTGGCCTAATCAGCAATATTCCTTTGCTGGGTAATGGAGATGCTGGTAACCACGATTCACCGCACACCACCAAGCCCCCCCAAACCAGCTAGAGCACTAAATGACCACACTGCAAGGATTCATGCTTCAATCCAGATTAAAAAGGACAGTACCTCCCATGCAATTTCTCCCCTGTTCACAGCATACCGGATCTGGAATGTAAGCTCATTGTTTGTAAATACTGGGTTTGTCCAGCTCACGTTGAGCAGCCCAACGTTCCTGGTGATTTCGGCTTCGACGTCGGAGGGAGGAAGAGGCTTTACTAGAACATGGAAAAGGGAAAAGAAATGACTAGAATGTCTGCACTGACAGACCTCATTAAATCCAACCACTGTGGTTTATTTTCTCCTGTTCTCAGGTTTGTGGTCTGTTCCAGGAAAGCTGGACTGTGGTGCAAACATAACAGTTTGCTGCTCCAGACAAAAATCCCCGCTGGCTGAGCCAGGCAATGTTTGTCCAAGGGGAAATTCATTCCAGTTCTGACCCAAACTAAAACCACCCCAGAAAATCTGAAGAAGTGGAAGTATCAAAATCAAAGTTTCTTACAGAATAAATGGGGTGCAGAAAGCCTTGGCACACGTGGCCCAGAAAGGCAGCTCCTGTGCAGGATGGGGACAGACACTTTGCGATCATTAATGGAAATATTATGTTAAGATTTTATTTTACTAATAGGAAATTCCACCAAAATTGGGCTTCTTCAGCAGAATGAACACAAGTGTCACAAGCCCCTAGTTTGTTAACAAAGCAAAGCTAGAAAAAAAAAATTATTTTGACTAATCAGATGGTGAGTGAGGAGAAAACAACAAAAATAATTGAAACAGCTTTAAATTGTGGGTGATGCTAGAACAAGCAGGTTTTGTTTTGCTGTGACACAGAGCACCTTTCATCCAGTGGAGGTCAACTTTTTATTTAAAATGATGACTTGAATAAGCCAGAATTCACAGAAATCACAGAATGGTTTGGTTTGGAAGGGACCAAGATCATCCAGTTCCAACCAGACCAGGTTGCTCCAAGCCCCATCCAACCTTGAACTCTTCCAGGGATGGGGCAGCCACAGCTTCTCTGTTCCATCATCTCACCACCCTCATCATGATGAATTTCCTCCTAATGTCTAACCTTCTGCTAGATTTCCTTCCTGGGCAGCATGGGATAAAGCCACCACCTTTGCCCAGGAGCACAGAGCCAAGGGAGAGCCCAGCCCTGCTGGGCACAGGCTCACCCTGCTGCTGCCAGGTTCTCTTGGCCAACTGGCCCAGCAGCAGCAGTGTAGAATCCACCTGCCATCCCACACAGCACCCTCCTTTCTGACTCTCCCAACAGTTCTCTGATCATCAGTGAACCTGCTTGTCAAAAAGGCACAAAGAATCCTCTTTAAACTAGACAGGAGCAATCCCAAAACCCACAAGGCCACCAAATGAGAAGTGGTAACAGCAATAATGTCCCACTTAGCTGTACTACACTGAACTTTGCCTTCCCTCCCTGTGGCATTCAGTTTTACTTGCTCTAGTTAAACTCTGCAATCAAAGAATAGGTTGGTTTGATTTTTGGTCTCTGCATACTTGCTTCCCCCCACACCTCACAGATCTGGTTTATTACTCTGCTTCATTTCACACAGCACCTCTGGGGTCAACTGCCTTGATCCCTCCCTGTACACACTCATTTGTGTCCAAAAAACACAAAGTCCAATGAAGGCTCCGAGTCCCAGACCAGACAACAAGACTTTATACATTTTGCAGTGTTTCAAAACACTCAGACACTGTTCCTGCCTCTTGCTTTTATACAAATTTAAGGAAGTGTCACAAAAGAAACTTTGCAAAATCCTTAATGGTCACTAGGATTTTAAATGAAAATAAAACTGTGCAAGGAAGACACAGAGTGCTGCACTGTATCACAGCATAAAGTGAACAACTAATTAAAGACTTCAGAACAATGAGATAACCAGGAACCTTAACAACAAGACTGCCTTTTTAAAGGGAATACTTGCATTTTCTCTAGGCTGCAAAACATCCAAAAGGATAAGCTTGCAAACCTGGATGTTTCATTTTAAAGCTGCAGCTACAGCTTCCTCCTGTGCTCAGCAGAGTGCATGGAAGTAACATTTAATCCCATGCCTTTTAGTATCAAAGCTCTTACGTTTCCACAATTCAATTTATTAAAAATGCTAGGAAGAAGTACTTTACCTACACCATAAAAGGAATGAAATCCAAGGGCACAAGTAAAGGAAGACATGCACGAATCTCGACCTACCCACGTCTGCTGGAACCACACAAGTTGGTGAGGACTCAAGTGTTCCTAGGAAGTGCTTAAACTCTATCCACATGGTATATCCAGATAAGAGAAAAAAAGGCTGAAACGTGCACTCATAGGAATGGTTCTTCTGCAAATGGCATTCTTTCACCTCTGAGTTTGGAGAAGTGCTCGGAAAATCAGCACAATAAATTCTGCTCCTTGAAAGAGAAGAAAGGACAATAACACCAACATTCCATGAATACATTGCAACTACAGGCTGCTGAGGGGAACTAGATGGTGTCACTGGAACCATCTGGGGGTTTTTGATGATTATTTGGATGAATCTTCAGCTTGTACCTGCACTAAGTGGATAAATGACACTGCAGTGAAACTCCAAGCTTTGGCTCTTGGCCTGAAAAAAGCAGGACATGAAGGCTCATCCCAGCACAAAAGCTTTTGGTAAGGGACCAACAACAGGAAGAAACAGGTACAACAAGAGCAGGCACCTCCACAGCCTCAGAAATCATGTTATTTCAGAGCTATGTATTAGCAACCAAGAGAGCAAGACAGATCTCTAGCCAAGAAATTACTCCAGCCAGGAATATGACTTTCAAAATCCCAACTGGCATCCAGGGGAAAAGCTGCCACGTGGGCTGAGTGGACACACACAGTGAAGTCTCCAGGAGATGGAAACCCCACCAAAAAATACCAATTCTGGAGGGTGGCATTAAAATCCCCCACAGGGTCAGTATCACGTCTGGCAGCAGAAGAGGGGAGAGCTGGACCCTGGATAAAATGGCATTGGATGTCTTATCCACGATGGAAAGTTCTCAGAGTCCTCTGAATTTGCCCCAAGCTCGTGCCCAGCTCAGCCCTGTGCCCTGAGTGGCCAGGCAGGGCAGCAGGGATCACTTCTCTTGAGGTTTTTGTTCCCAGAGAATGTTATGCAAGTGATACTGGTGTTTTCATAACTAAACATTTTTAAATGCCTTTTATGGCAGCTTTTTAGTCCCCTGTGATCTCTTTTTTCTATTTTTTAATCATTCTTCCCCTCTGAACCTCAATATTACCAACCCCAAAAAGAGAACACAAAGAAAGATCACAATAAATACCAGCATCTGGGAAGCATTTTCAGCCTCCATTAATGTTCCCTGTTTGATCTAGCAGGAACACTGCAATAAATGTACAGATTATCACCTCCTACTAAAAAAATAAAATAAAATAACATTTTTAGCTAAACTTGAACAGTGAAAAAGTGGGAACATAAAAAACATGGCAAGAGCAGCATGGGTTTTATTTCAAGCTCCCTCCCTGAATATAATGAGCACACTCATTATATTCATATTTGTGAAGACAGTTGGAACAAAACCCACCTCAGCAGTCAGCTAGTCACTCATCCTGCCCTAAAAGCCTCCACTTGAAATCTCAAGCATTTCAGTTATTTAGTCCACAAGATGCTCAGAAATATTCACCTGGGTACTGCAACAATTCAGAACTTCAGTCCACCTCCAACAGAGTTGGACAGCACAGTCCTCCAAAGGATTAGGCCCTAAGGGCTGATTTAAACTTGTTTGCCCAAAATTTTGCATATCCAGTCCAGCAGGGCAGTGAAACTAAAGATTTTTTTTCTCAGGAAGGGTTGTCTGTCTGTCTGTCTTGTTTATATAAAGACTAGCACAGTTCTAGGAAAGTCTCGAGCTCTACAGATTAGTAACTCAAAAGGATTTTTTTAGTTTTCTGGTAAAACAATCCTGTACAACACAGGCAATATTTGTGCATGTGAATGAAGATCAGGATGATCAGAGCTCTGATTTAAGAATCAGTTTTGTGTTTTGTAAACAACTGGGTGTTTGCTCCACACCCCAGCCCTCCTGCCCTGTCCAAAAGACAGACAAAATTAAGCCAACTATCTGAAAACACTAGGCCAAACCCATGAAACCTAGGAACAGCTCCAGCCACCAAAGATGGTACCTTCACAAAGCAATATTCCTTTTATGAACTCAGATTTGATTCTCTCTTTATAAGCAAGATTTTTTTTTCTGTTTGGAATGAATTCAATTCCATCCCTATATTTTTATCCACTGTCTGTATATAGGAAAAAAGATCATAGACTGGTTTGAGTTGGAAGGGACCTTCAAGATCATCCAGTCCCAGCCCCTGCATGGGCAGGGACACCTCCCAGCAGCCCAGGCTGCTCCAAGCCCCATCCAACCTGCCCTTCAACACTGCCAGGGATGGGGCAGCCACAGCTTCCCTGGGCAACCTGGGCCAGGGTCTCACCATCCCCACACTAAAGAATTTCCTCCTCATGTCCAACCTAAATCTCCCCTTTTCCAGTTTTGATCCATCACTCCTTGTCCCCTCACTACAAGCCCTTGTCAGAAGTTCCTCCCCAGCTTTCCTGGAGGCCCTTCAGATACAGAACTAGAGAAAAATCAAAGACTGTATGGAGATGTCAAGACTTCTCAAGTCCTACCTCCAACTCAAAGCAGGGTTAAATTCAAAGACAGATGAAGCTGACCAGGGCTCTGCCCAGTCACGAGCTGAAAGTCTCCAAGGGCAGAGATCCTACAGCCTCTCATTGGGAATGGGGTTTGATTTTCTCTTATTTCCTTACAATTGGTAGATCCAAGCAACTGGAAGGATAATTTTTGTAACTGATCCAAGCAAACACATCTGCTTGAAGAGAACTGGCTTCCAAACTGCATCTACAGGTTTTGCAGATGCTGGAAAACAAGGTGAATAAAATCCATGTTACATACTCAAGCATCTATGGACCCCTTTCTGTACATGTAGTTAATACCTCTGGAATTCCTGTTGGGAATAAGTCCAGCTTAGGAAAAAAGAGCACATTTGATAATGACATCAGAACTCTTTGCTGTAATGGCATTTCCAGAGCAACAGTTGCCAAACATAACAAGTGCACTAAAAGCTCTACATACCTGTAGTATCTTAGCTGCAAGGAAGTCCCCAGGAGCACAGTGGTTGGGTTTGCAGACCACCTGCAAGTCATCTTAGTTAAGTACCCATCTGTTTCACACGTGATGTTAATATCCATATCTAATTAAGGCACATTGAAAGTTCATTAATAATGATACACTGGTTTAAACAAAAAAAAACAACCCACACGCATTACAAGTCATAACTGCTCAATAAAAACTAACAGGAGTTTAAGATGGAAATATTCTGACCTTACTATGAAAATGCTACCAAAATGATAATTTAGAATCATCTGGAATCTTACCTACTACATATAATTCAGCATATCTATGGTGACACTCTCTGTTTTGATGGCAACAGTACAAGGCGTGATAGAAGAAACTTCCTCTAGGTTTTGTTGCTTTCAGGTTGGAAAGAGTAACTTTGCTTACACGGTCATTCACAAGGGTATACTGACTTTCTGGGATTTCTTCTGCTAAATTCAGCCACCAAACAATCTTCTGGGATGCCACGAGCTTGGTTTTGTTTTTATAGATACAATGAAAGGAAACATTGGAGCCAACACTGGTCAGTATCTTAGGAGGGAAGTACAGGACTCCAGCTGCAAAGAGGTGGAGAAAAGGGGAAAGAAACATCCATTAAGATTAGAATCTGAACCAAAAAATGTAACCATGTGTCAATAGAAAAGTATTATTATTGTTATTTGTACGTCTAAATTCCCTACTTCTTAATTACTATTAACAACTGTAAGGCAGAGAGGCAGAAATGAGCCTTTGACTGTCTCCCTCTGTAAGTGATGTTTGTGATTAAAATAAACTTTATTGTCCCCAGGCAAACAGGAATTAAATGAGCAGGAAATCACTGGAGGGCACAATGAAAGCACCACACAGAAGCACAAGGGAAACAAGGAATTAAATCTTGGGAAACTAGATTAACACTGCTGCTTTTTATCCACCCTGCACTTTTAAAGCACCAAGTCACCTTATTTAAATGCTGCAACAAGTATTTGCAACCTAGAAAGGATTAACCTCTGTAACTTGTTCCACATACACAGCACAGGTTTTAAAACCATAGAATTGTCCTCAGGTCAAAGAAGATCCAAACAAGAGAAATGTTTGGGCTTGGGAAAAAAAATAATCTGACCCTTTGAACCCTGTAAGGATGCTGAAATCATGTTAGGGGGAGCATTGATGAAATACTGGAGCACAGAACTTGAGAGAATCCCTACTCAGAACTGGAGGAGAGGGGATTGAACAACAATAATTTAAAAAATAGTCATAATCAAGCTTTCTAGCAGCTACTAATCCTGCTCCTGTTGAAGTCAGCAGGAGATGAATGTCTTAAAACTTTGTTTTACCATTTCAGCAGTGTGGTTCACAGCAGCTGGTGGCAGTGGGGCAGTCACTCACCCAGGGATGAGGGCACTGAGTGTGCAAAGTGCTGAACGAGCACCAGCCCAGCCCCGAGCAGGCAGGTGCTGAGGGAAGCTGCAGGTGTTTCACACCTCCTGAAAAGGAGCAGCTCGCCCAAGACCAACCCAAAGCCACAACAGTTAGAGCACAGAAGTGACTGCACACCCCCTACCTGCCTCACTGAGGTCATATGCTGTGCTCCAGTCACTCCAGAACCCTGCACCATCACGGCTCCTGCACCGCACTTGAACCCAGCGTGAGGAACCAAGCAGGGGATTCTCTATGGCCAGTGAGGTCTCCAGAGCAACCTGAACCATCTGTTGGATTAGCAGAAGCCATTATTGTTGTACAACAGGAAAAGACAGAGGGAACCAAAACAAATAGCCTAGAGAGTAGTTTTCAGGTAGCAAGTTGGGTAGAAAAAGCTTTCTTCTTTAAATTGACTGTGAATTTGAGTATGGTAGAAAACATGTTAATTCATTAAGGATTGCTAATTAACAGTGGTAGCAACAGAAAAAGCAATTCACTAATTGAAGCTACAAATATTAAACATATACATGTGGATCATGGAATTTGAGGGTTGCTGAAAGGAGGGTTGCTTTGCCTTTAGACTTCACAGCATCTAGCACTTCATCCAGAAAGAAAGATGGGAGCTTGTTTGCAAAGACCCAACAGGAGATAGGTCTTCCCTCACTGTAGTGGCTCTCCAAGTGCAACAGATGTGAAGTCCTGCTTGCTAGCTCCACCACACCCTGTACAGGTTTACCAGGGCCTACTGGATGCACCAGCTCAGGAGAAACCAGAGTGCCATGTCCAGATCCACCAGCCCAGCCCCACTGCTCAACCCACCAGAGCCACTGCCCAAGGACAAAGAGGGTGGTAAAAAAGTCTCTGGAAGAGACCCACCAACCTGCTCTGCTCCACCATAAAACACAGCGAGCAGAGCTGACTCACCTGCCAGCCACTTGGACCTGAACTGGCAGAGATCTTCACTTCATACTGCAGGGGATATGGCACCAGCAAAGGGTTGGACCAGCAGACCTTCACTTGACCTCTCTCTGTCATTTCTAGATGCAGGTTCAAAGGAGGTTCAGGCTTTACTGCAGACAAAGTAATTGACAAGTTTAGCACTAACCTCATAGCCTGCTGGCAGAAGCTTTTGCCTTCAAGTCAGTTTTCAAGAGCTTCTCTACAGCTAGTGTATGATAGAGTAATCATAGAATCACAGACTGGTGTGGGTTGGAAGGGACTTCAAAGATCATCTAGATCTAACCTCCCTGCATGGGCAGGGACACCTCCCACCAGCCCAGGCTGCTCCAAGCCCCATCCAACCTGTCCTTCAACACTGCCAGGGATGGGGCAGCCACAGCTTCCCTGGGCAACCTGGGCCAGGCTCTCACCACCCTCACAGCACAGAATCTTGTGTAGTATCTCTGGAAAAGTGTACCCTGGCACTATTATATTTATCAGGACACACTGGATGACTTAATATTTGGTTTAAAATTAATTTCTTGCCTTGGGCCATGATAGTTCCCAGTAACCAAGCACTAACTCACCTGTTCTGCTGGAAAGAGGACTCAGAGGGATGTGAGAAGGAGACAACACTCTCAGAGAGTACACAAAGAATTTCTAATTATCCCCAGGCCTTTCGCAGTGGTTATGGCTATGAAAGAAGGTCTCCAGGAGAGCTACACTAAGGCCAAATAAAAATGGAGGGTTTCAGAAAGTTCCCACAGGGATGAAGGGAACTCCCTGGAGAAGGAAATGGGTGGGCAATTTAGGATGATGCACAACCACAGCCCTTAGCTACTGCCCCAGAGAGTCAGAAGAGTTCCCTCCTATGATCCCTCCATCAGACAACACATCAGTCTGACCTGGCCCCTCCTGCAGCTCCTGTGGGCTCCACTCAAGGAAGATTCTGCTTCTGCCAATATCAGATTAAACACCAAATAGCCTTTCACTGATACCTCAGCTCTTCCAAGGTGTCTCATTTAAGTGGTATTACTGGAATCTCACTCACTTTACCAAAATCTGTTATTTTAGGTAGAAATTCACTTCTCTAAGTCAGATCTTATTTTATTATTACATATATACCATCTCCAAGCATTTTACTTGATAAAGACCAGCAGGAAGTGATCTGGGAGAAGGCACAGATTTAAAACAAAAGTCAGTGACTTTTACATCACACTTTTGTGCATCTTACAACACAAATAATGAACTCTGTTCTACTCATCCCACTTATTCTACTAATATCACCTATAAGCAAGTACAAACCTACATCACACAAGGATTCATAGCTTTACCTTCAAGATAATTTTTAACTAAGCTAAATCTTGGCAGAATATTTACTAATATTATGTGGTTTTAAAATACCCCTCACTAAGCAGAACAAACTATGTCATTTTTAATACTGGCAGATGCAAATCTGATTTGTTTGCTATAGCAGAACTTAAAAGTAGCATGATGGAAAAAAAATGCAACTTCTTAGCTTCAAAATGAGCCCACCCAGAGACTTTTAACTTATTCTGTCTGCAAAACACTTCAGTCAGGCAGAGGTTTCTAAAGCTTCTCTTTTTTCCCCCACAGCTGGCAGGGTCCCCACCTTTTTGGAATTTGCCAAGAGCTGCAATAACTGTGCATCATGGAGAGCACCCCATGTCAAATTCATAACGTCAGGAGAGTTTTAACTTGATTAAATAGAGAGGGATGTTTCCCAACTTGGAAAAGGCTGGTGTTGTTTGTGTAAGGAAGAAAACATGAGGACAACAGAGCTGCCTGGGGAAAAGAAGTGGGTTTATTTGCTAAGTAACTTTAGGAACAGCTTCTTTTCCCCTCACTTTTTAATTTAAGTCCTAGAGAATTAAGTACTAGAGAAGCATCAGGCAGCTCAGAAACGTGTGCACAGCACCCTGAGCCAGGGAGACAGCTTCAGGAAGCCTTGTCCTGCTCTGTGTCCCCTCCAGGAGGGACATCCTGCTGCTGCAACTCCCCTACAAAAGGTCTCAAATATAGGTCCTACTTACCTATGTCTATGGGCTTGACTGACATCAGAGGTGACCACAGAGGTATCACCCCAATTGTCCTCTTCAGCCACATGATGTAGGTGCAGTTGAGGCTCAGAGCAGGCACCCAGCACTCACATCCCTCATCCTCCCTGCACTCACACTGAGCAACCAGGACAGTCCCCTCCAGGGAGCTTGTAGTTACATCTCCCAGAGGCAGCTCTGATCTGCAAGGGAGAAAACAAACCATAAACCAAAACAAGCCCTAAACCAAACCCATATCTCTTTCTGTATCTCAAAGAGAGGAGGTTTGTCCATTTGGGTACAAAAAAAAAAAAAAGAAAGAAGTAAAATAGGCAGTAATTGTAACTAATTGATTTTACTTTGCTGCTTCTCCCTTTTGAAAGGGTTTCCAAGTACAGTAATGAGGATGATTCCATGAAAAGTCTTCCTCAGGTTTGACTTGATAACAAACGTGTTCCAATACTACGTGATGTGCAGCTCAGTCAGACCCCTTTCCCATTCCTGATGGTAACTATTACTAGACACTTCTTAGGCACACAAAATTGATTTACCTTCCAGGGGACCAATGGACATAGGTTTCATTAACAGCTTAATCAGATTTTCCAAGATTATTTAAGTACATTTTAAAGGAAATGAATTGCAAAGTAGCACATCCTGATACAAGCAGTCATGCATTTTGTCTCCTGATGCCAGCAAATGTTTTAGAGGGTAAAAAAAAGAACACATGTATTGCTACTGAAATACAGGCCATCACATGTAGGTTTTATCTCTAAAACATGCACAATTTTCCTTGGGTCAGCTTCAAGCAGCCACATGGAGATGACCCAGACTGTTTCCCATGAACACAAGAGTACACAGGTGCTTTTCAAGGATGTTTGGCAGGTATTTTTAAAGCAACCCTTGTGTGCATGATTCCTCTCCACACATTTTTGATCTCTGTTGACTGTAATCAAACTGTCATTGATTCATGAAATAAACACCTCACAAGTGGGCACAAAGCTGCTTCTATTCTGAACCAGCAGCTCCCAAAGTACTCCACATTCTAATTTCTAATCTACAGGTATTTTCTGGGCTCTTTCAAGCACAGATACAGCTTATGCTGTACCACAGGTACCCAGTGACACAGGCCTCCTTAGTGTAGTGAACTGAATAGTGTGACAGCTGCAGAGCCAGACTTCTCACAGCAGCAAAGCCAAGACAAATCCTGACAGTGAAACCATCCTGGGTTCCTTCCTGTTGATGGGATTGCATCCTTGCAAAACCAGCTGATGTTCTGAATTGTTCTGAAGTAATTTTGTCATTATTTCTGTACAGTAAGGGTGTTGTTCCTCTAGTTCAGAGAAAGAAGCTGAAGTTCATAGAATAAGAACTTTCCTGTGAAAAGTTTTGAATGGCTTTATAGTGGGTATGACTCATTGTACCTCTTGAATTCAGGGAGAGCAGAGAACTCTGTGCTGGAGGAAAAGAAAGAGCAGTAAGATTTTCTGGGTTTTTGTTTGGTTTTAGTCATTTTGGTATCTAGTACATTTAATTGACTGTAAAGCACAGGGAAAATGGGCACAATTCACCATAAGCTATGCAGCTCCATCTGAATATGCAGCTTACATCTAACAGTGCTAGAGTCAGCCAATACTGACATTCCTAAAATTATTTTTACCAGGACTCACAGACTTTAAGACACGAGAATTATGAAACTTTATGCTGATGGTATCTGGCAGTCATAGAGATTTTAAATTACTTGGAATATATTTGTTTTTATAGTTGTGGCTCCACTTCTTTCTCCTGAATTGCCTTCCAAAGACTTCGCAGAATTTTCTTTTAAGTTCCCCTGACTTCTCTTGTTGCTCACAGATTGTGCTAGTCTCAAAAAACCCACAATTAATCCATAGGAATGTAGCCTTTCATCAAACTGTGTCTTTAATCTGAGCTACCTGGAAAGCAGTCACCACTACAACACCCTGCCATCTTTCTCCTAATCATTCCTAGTAAGGATTTCAATTTTAAATCATCAAACTGACCTTATTTGCACCCAGGAGAACACTGTGTGCAGGGGGAAAAAAATTCTGGAGGTCTGTTGTGTCAGTATTTTGTTGCAAATCCACTGGTTTGGGAGTAAACAGGCAGGTGGTGATATTTTTCCCTGCTCCCACCACCTTTCCACAGACTGGCACAACACAGGGACTCTCTGACTATCTCCCCAAACTGAGTTTGGGATAAGAGGACAGATCAAGGGAGGACAGGATCATGAGGGGCCCCCAAAACAACTTATTCTAAATTGCCAAGCCTGGGCTAAATATCTGAGACCTGATTGCAAGCAAAACAATGGAAAGACCAAGTGTTTTGGAGAACTGTGCCAGCCCAGGAATGCATGAGGAGCATCTCATCCTCAGCTTGGCTGCAGATGGATCCAGTCACACAATAACTATTGCTCCTGAACTGCAGATACTGACTCTAGAGGAGCTTGTGCTTATCAAGCCCTCCCAGGTTCAGGAGAGGTCAGTGTCTTCACTCAGCAGAATGAGAGCAGAAACTCTGGGCACACTTAAAACAAAGCAAGGGACTATTAAAACCTGGAGTTTTCCATCAGACTTGCAGTAAGGTGAGAGAAGCTGTGACTCCTGGTTCCACAAGCACTTCCCACCATGCGAGGGTAACCAGACCCAACCAGACCCAAACTGTGGTGGAGGGAAAGACAGAGGACTTATAAAACATCCAAGTGAATATTATGTCCCCACTCAGCTTTATAGGGCTGGCTGCTGGAATTGGAGAGATTTGTCTTGGCACAGAGAGAAAAGCAAAACACAGATAGGTACAAGTGTAGGAACTTCTGTGAACTGATCACCAGAGCCCAGCTGAGATTCAATAGAAAATCAGTGAACTGGCCTGAAGATTTAATGCCTGGCAGAGAAGGGAGGGACAATGCACAAAGGAACTGTGACTTGAAGCTGGAAACATGGGACTAAAGCATAAGACACTGGCAGAAGGGGGGGGGGGGGAGGGGAAAAAAAAGGGGGGGGGGGGGGGATGGGAAATAAATACTGCATGCCCTGAACCACAGAAGTAATTAACATTCAGCAAGGGCACGTGTCCAAGGTTTGCTTTGCTTTTCCACTCCAAACACTGCTCTTTTTAGTTGGGCAAAGATAGTTCTTTTAGTCAACACCTGCAGTTAAAACCTCCTAAGTGGTTTATGTTTTGGTGCACAACTCAAACATGCTTCAGAAGGCCTTGCTACTTAATGCTAAATCAGTCTGTGGCTCCGTGGTGAACTTCACATTAGAAGCTGCAGAATGTCTTGACTGAATTTCAATCCATTGCTTGCAACACCTAACTGAAAACAAGGGGTCAAAACTGTTTTAAGGAGAAACACACAATCTTCTGCAATTTCTCTAATTTCAGGAAAGGCACAACAGGACATTTATGGAGCTGTGTTGAGGCAGATCAGAGATAAGGTCACCATTGTAACTCTGCCTTCCATATTTCTATAGATTTTGTTTCCACAAGCTCTAGCTTGATTAGAAATTGAGAGAGCAAAGCTGTCTGGGGTTCTGAGAATTTTCAATCATTATACCTCAATGTATTTGATATCTAGTAGCTTGAGGACAATACTTATTTGAACAAGCTTGACCCATTAAACTGCACAATATCTGATGGGTGCCTGGCTCATGGGAGGATGAGTCTCTCATGAAATGTTAATGTTCTCCAGCTAAAGAAGGTTCAATGCTTAACTGGTGCACCCAGTCTTGAGGCAAACTTCAGGATTCATCCTTTAAAAACATGGGAGCCTGGTCCCAGAACTAAAAGAGAGCCTCACAGGTACTTTGACCAGGTCAGAAATATGAGCACACCCCATACATCACCATCTGCTGAAAGGGCAAATGATAATCAGGGCTCAAAATTAAACCAGGAGCATCCATCTGTGTCACTGCAAAAGGATCCCCAAGGCTGAGGGATTGCAGGGAATGTAATTAACCATCAGGGTTTACAGCACTCCTAGAATACATACAACTGGAAAGATCATTGTAGACAATCAAGATAATTTGTCTAATTCATTTTCAGAATAATCTTTCTCCTCCCAAAGACATGTTGCTAGGGAGGGTAACAGCCCTATCACTGCCTCTGCCTGAGCTCTGGCAGACAACTGGTCTGGACAGAACCACACATTTTTTATTCAGATAACTAGATATCATTTGCAAGCAGAGAAACTGTGGGTGTGCAAAAGAAGAGGATGCTTCTTTAATGCTGAAAAAAATTAAGAGCTGTTGAGAATCTAAGCTTTCTTGTGGTAGGTACTTCTAGGTCATCATTTTTGCACATTGCCTGTCCTATATGAGAGAAATCTGGTGTGATCTCCAGACTCCCAGGGAGAAACACATGCCAAGAATGCATATTTTTAAAACTGGGAATGTTCTCAAGATATTTTGGCTCATGTGAATAAAATGTCAAGGTATCAGCAAGCCAACAGGCAAAGCTGTCATCCTACCCAAATCTGAAATGCTTTGCTACCTGTTCCCCCAGAACACAGGGGCTACAAAAGAAAAATATCCACAGGAAATACTGGGAGAGACACAAGTTCCTCAGTGCCAGGGACTGCACTGCATCCTGCCTTTGCAGCTCCAGGGAATTAAGCACAGAAATGTCACCAGGACTCCAGGGAGTCTATAAGGCCTGATCTCAAATTGTGTGACACTTACTGAATTCCCTCCATAACACAAAGAACCTCTCCATCCCAGCTGGGACTCGAATCTGTTGTCCCACAGATGTTAAAAATACCAAAAATACCAAAAAATTCAATATACAGATTACTTGACTGGGATTACTGGCAAAGATTTTTCTATTGCAGAGCAGACCAGATGGATCAGAGGCAAAGGCAGATCTGCCTCTCCCACAAACACACAGGTAATGTTCCAGAAATTAGATTCATCAGGAACACTGGAAATAGGAAACCACTCAAAGCCTGATTTCAGCTTTAAAGTATTATGGCAACCAAACCCCAGATTTATTACTAGCTAATACACTTGTTTTCTGCTCTAACTATAGGGATAATTTGTGGCAAGTGACCTCTGGCTTTTTAAGTAGAAGTCATCACCTGTAAATTCAGCCAATTCAACTACTTATGTTTAGCCTGTTTCCTGAGGAAACTGAGTCTGTGTTCATGCCACTCCTTCCAACCTGCCAGTAACTCAGAAAGAACAGTGTGGGTTTGTGAATGGAATCAAACAGATCTTTTTATGATCAAATCAGGTGGGTGATGTGTGCAAGACCTGCTTCCTTCCAGTCAGGCTGATTGCCATCTACTACCAGTCCAGAGAATATTTACCAGGGTGACAACAGTGACAACTGCACCCGAGTGGCTCTCAGAGGCACCGACGTGCTGAGAGCAGCACTTGGCATTGTATGAACTGCTCAGTAATACAGTGACTTCAAGAGAGAGAACATTGTGGTCAAAAGCATAAAAAAGGCAGAACCAAGATGGCAGCTTTAAAATGAAGCAATTGCAAAAGCAAAGATAAATTAGCAACTCAACTCTGATGGCACTAAAGAATTTTAAGAAGCATGGAAAGAACAGAGGAGAGAGACTCTCTGTTCTAACCTTTCCTCGCTCTAAGCCAGAAGTATAAACTTTCCACATTGTCCTTGATTCCCTTTAAATAAGACACAGCTTTAATACAACATCAGGGGAGGCTGATGTGCTGCAAGCTGGAGAGGCCAATGTTGGTGTTGTAGAAATTATTTTAGATGGACATGGGGTAATGGATCAAAACTGAAAGAGGGAAGATTAAGGTGAGACATGAGGAGGAAATTCTTTAGTGTGAGGGTGGTGAGAGCCTGGCCCAGGCTGCCCAGGGAAGCTGTGGCTGCCCCATCCCTGGCAGTGTTGAAGGGCAGGTTGGATGGGGCTTGGAGCAGCCTGGGCTGCTGGGAGGTGTCCCTGCCCATGCAGGGGGTTGGGACTGGATGATCTTTAAGGTCCCCTTCAACCCAAACCAGTTTAGGATTCTATAATCTCTAAAGCTAATAGTGACACACTGCACAGAGTCTGTACTTACACAGCATAATAAAGATCAACCTTCAAGTTGTTTCTCAAGTGCAACTTCAAACCCTGCAGGCTACAAACCAACAGGTCCAGCCTGCCCTTTATCCAACACTCAATGTTCCAACTGGAATCTAAACAAAAGAAAGGGATTACACATTTCTGAACAACATTAAAACCAATACAAATGACTAAAGAGTCAGGACAAAATTCACTCCCAAAGAGAGGACAAGTAATAGTTACTCATGAAGGTGAGGCTGGACCCCAAGTGTGCCATTTTTATGATTAATCCTTGCTGAACTGGGCACCAGGATATGCCCTTCACACTTAAAAGCCTCACAACCAAGGTCAGGCTGCTGCATCCTGACTGTTGGAGAAGGAACATATTTTACCTGGTTTTATGGACAAGGCCACAAGGGGCAGAAAGAAATGAAGATGCTGCTGCTGGTTGAAGACAACAAATTCAGCATGGCAGTCTGTTCCAGGTGATTGTCCTTGTAAAACAAAATTCTACCCTACTGAGGTCGATGAGATTCCTGCCACTGAGAGCAGGAGCAGCTGGCCAGGCTGCTGCTCAGAGCCTGCTCGGGGGGAGAAAACTGCCTAGGAAAAAAGAACACATTCTAATCCACGTGCAGATATTGCTTAAGGCATCACAATCCAGGCAGAAAAGATGGCACTTCTTCTCCATCTCCCCCACCTCCTTGAGGAGTTCAAAGCCCATATCCACAAAAATATGTAAAATATTTCTCATAGTGTCTGATCTGGGCTTGCAGCCTCACATGCAGTGCTACACATTTCATTCAGCATTCCCCTAGAAAGGCAGCCAGCTATTTTTTTTTTTCCCCCTCCTTTGAATCTGTGCTACACATTTCTTTCCTCTTCCACTAGAGATGTCTGTCAGGAAGGATTTTACCACCCTATCTTTTCTGCTTTGGATAAAAACAAATACCCATTAATACAATCCACCCACCCATCCCCCAAGCAGAAAAACCCAACCATTTTTTAAAGTAGTACCTTCTTCTGCCTTTGAATGGGAAACCTACCTATTTCCTGAGAAGCATTGATACTCATTTCTGAAGGAATAAACTTCCTTGCTTGCATGCTTGCTCTGTACAAAGAACAATCAAGGTTGTGATCACTCCAAATGCAACACAGAAAATTCTCTTCATTCCTTAGCAAGGGAGGCTTCATTTCAGATGCTCTCCTCCAGCCAGACCAGCTCTCTGCAACTCCAGCAGAGAAAGGACCCAAAAAAGTCTCATTCAGCAGCATACAGGGTAATGTAAAGTTCCTGGGAGGAATCTGATGGACCATGCAGTGGGGAACTGCCATTTGAAGAAAGTCTGCAAATATAAAGGCAAAGATATTGGAAATAAAAGTTCATCTTACTTGCCAAAGAAAAGGGAGTAGCTGATGTTACAAACAAACACATTAATTCCATAAAAATCAGATTACTCCTAGATTTTCTGATGTTACAAACAAACACATTAATTCCATACAAATCAGGTTACTCCCAGGGGCTTTCCTCCTCTGAGTTCCAGACAAAAGTGCTAAAACCATCCCCTCCAGTCTGGTGGCACAGCTGGGAGATGCCACTTTTCCTCCCCAAAGCCACTGCAATGAACGTTTGGTTTCCTCAGCCTCTCCAAACAGGTCAGGACCAACGGTGCACAGGAAGCATCTCTCTGGGGTAATTTGGCTTCTATGAATTCAAAATACATTGAACCCTAAATCTAAGCCCACACACTACACAGGAATGAGTCTCATCTGCCCTTGTAGTGCTGGGACACCTGCAATCCAGCTCTTACAACATGTCTCCTTTACTGTAGAAAAAATAATCCCACTGTAAGTATAAAACATAGTCACACTGGAACTGTTAAATACCACAGAACAGTATTACAAAGATGTACAACTAGATGTAACTGCACAACCTCAGGGTGCTCTGTGGGAAATGAGACGTAGGAAAAGAATAATCTTTTCCATCAGACTTAGATTCTTCAAAATAAAATTGCCCTGACCACATTTTTAGCTCTCTCTGGCAAGTCACCACTTGAATGATGTGATTAAAACAATGATTTTGGGGATGATGAGAAATCTCAGTTTGGGAAAGAGCTGACTGGAAAACACTGCATGAATTTCAAAGATTCGAGCAGCCCCAGTTACAGAAAGGCACGTGGGTCATTTGTGCCCTTTGCATTTAGCTTCTTGCTCAGTAAGGGCATAAATATTTTAAGCAGCTCATTGGATAGAAATTAATTCATGCTCCATGTCTTGCAACAGCTAAAATCAGAAAATCAGAACTTCTCCAGCATGGTTTGATTTACAGCACATAAGTAGAAGCTAAATAATACAAAAACCACAAAATGAAAAAACTTTTAGGAAAGCAGCTGCCTGCTACCTCCAAAGCAGACCCTGTGCTACTAGGCAGGGTGTGAAAGTGTGTCCTGCTCTCTCCATGCAGATTTTGTGTTGCCAGACTCCTGAAGGTTTCTGCTTCTTCCTCCTCTCTCATTTCCCACTGTTTGTGCCTCTGTAAATATCAGCTTCATCAGGCCTCTTGGCTGCAGGCAGAGGATTCAGCTGACTGAACAGACTCTCAGTCCATAATTCATGATTTAAAAAGGACAAATGAGTAAGTGCCATGGGTTCCAGGACAGGTAACTAAGACCCTGCCTCATTCACAGGGGCAGCTGCAGCCTGGGAAGAGATTCCTGCCAATCACCTGTTTTTCTAAAAACCAAACTCTCCTCTTGCCTATCACACCAGATAATCTGACAGGATTAATTAAATCCCATCAAGTCCAAAGGTGTGCAGCTACTTACTCCTTCTGCAGAAATATTCAAAACCTAAAAGAATGACAATGCATTTCAGAACAGAGCATTCAGTCCAGGATTGTTAGTGACTTACCCAGTAGCACAAACACAGTCAGAATGATTCCCCAGTTCATCCTGTTTTGTAGAGCTGATCTGAAAAACATACAGAAAATGAACCAAGAGCTGATAAATATCAGTCTGTTATTTCATTAGGGTTTCGTTTTGGTCAGCTTCAGTTAAGTTGAGACTTAATTCTAACCCTACAGTCACATCAATTCCATTAAAACCCAAATATAATCATTTTTATATTTTAAAAAAAGCTCAGCAGGGGATATCAGAGGAAAACATTCAGTTGCCTTTGTAGTTAACCAGAACTGGATGATTACTAAAATTTATATACCAAGTCAGGCAGAGAATGCTGGAGCAAGAAATAAAATGTAGGGATTCCCTCCAAAATATTCTCATGCCTTGAATATTTCTGAGAACACTTTCCTTGAGAACTTCTATGTTGCCAAAAACATTGTGCCAATGCTATGTAACCCAGTGGCTTTCCAGTCCAGGGGTGCACATACTGTACTATAAGCAAACAGTGGAGAAGAGAAGGCTCTGGGAAGACCTCACAGCACCTTCCAGTGCCTGAAGGGGCTACAGGAAAACTGGAGAGGGACTTTTGACAAGGGGTAATGGATCAAAACTGGAAGAAGGGAAGATTAAGGTGAGACATTAGGAGGAAATTCTCTGCTGTGAGGGTGGTGAGACACTAGAACCAGTTGCCCAGGGAAGCTGTGGCTGCCCCATCCCTGGCAGTGTTGAAGGGCAGGTTGGATGGGGCTCTGGACAACCTGATCTGGTGGGAGGTGTCCCTGCCCATGCAGGGGGGTTGGGACTGGATGATCTTGAAACTCCCTTCCAACCCAAACCATTCTGTGATTCTAGGAAAAACAGAGGATGGGCAAAGCTGTCTACCTGAAGGAGCAGCCAAATGAGAAGTGAAGTTACAATATTCCAGTATTTTTGCCTCCCTGCAAGTTATCCCACAAGAAAAGCCCTTGCAAGTCTAGCTGGGGCTGGAGATGGAACCAAGTTATTTCTCCAGCACAGCCCACCTGCACTTTGGTCTGCAAGATGAGTCAGTCCCATCCACTTTTCCCCAAATTCACCCAGGTTATCATCCGAGTACATTTTAAGCTCCATTTTGAGCAATTAAAGAGGACAGCTCAACATTTCAAAGGCAGTGATTCATAACCCCTACTTCAGAGGAAAATTCACCTCTTAGCACAGCTGTTAGGAGGCCTACCTTTCTTGTACCTCTTCCATTAGTCTGTTTCCTAATAGGAGAGCCATGAAGGCCAGAGGAATTATCTACCTATGACCTTCTATTAGGTCTGTCATTTTCCAAAGATACAGCCCAGGATTACTTCCAAAAGCCTGTGATTGAGGTTATCTAGTTTTTTCCCAAGTTTCTGACTGAAGAAAAAACTTTTTAAATAGTTTACTTGACCTAAGCATTCACTATTCACACTATTAAACATATGGTTTAATGAGAAACAGTCCACATTCCTCTTTTAAAGGTGCAAAAAAACCTTTGCTGTTCCTTTCAAAACAAGGAAAAAACTTCCATCATCCATAACAAGTTATTGCTCCATCACTTGCTTTCCCATTGTAGGCACTGCAAGAAGGAAAAGCTGTCACCCAAATATCTCAGCCCCTATTGCTCCCAGATGTTTGGTGGAAAAAAAAACACAGTGTTTTAGTAACTCTGTGTATTTCATTGTGCTGTTTCAAAGCAGAATGTGAAACACCAGCTCTCCTTTGTTCCTGGAAGTTAAATAATGGTGTGAACAGCAGCTGCTCTGTTAGTTCCACCCATGCAGCACCTGCCTAGACTGAAAAGAAAGCAACCACAGCTCCTCAGAACCCCACACACTGCAAAGAAGGAAAGTTATAATTATGGCATCTAGTGAAGATAAAGGCCTTTTCACTCCCTGCTGCCATACAAACATCCAGAGAGAGCAATCAGAGGCTCTGATGTGAGAACTAATTTAACAGTCATTAACAATATTTGCACCAGAAGGCAAAAATACAGTTCAGAGCAGCTTGAAACATCTTTTCCTACTTCTGCTGCATCGATCCAGGCTGATTTTTACGAAGATGTTATTTTTCAAGCCTGGTTCCAAGAATATTCATGAACAACAAATATTGCTGTACATGACCAAAAAGCCATGTAAGCTGCATGTCACCTGCAGCAGCTCCTTTTCTGTTCCAAGTTCAGTATTGCTTGTGTAAACACAGGAACCAGGTAGAGAGAGAGAGCTACAGATAACTGCCAGGACAAGATGAACGTCCTACTGGACCAGACAGGACTATCCAATATGTTTTCTAGGGAAAAGACTGAATTTATCAGAATTCCTAACTTGACTGTAAGAAACAACCCAAGTTTTTCAAGAACAGTCAGAGGGAAGTTAAATAAAGGAGAATTATTAAAACCTGTAACTAGAGCTCTATCCCAGAGCCAACACAGCAAGGACAAATGGTTTTATGCAGGGATGGGGAAGTGTCCATACAAACAGAAGGAAACTGGGTCAAATTTAACCCATCTATCTTAAGATACCACAGGCTGAAACCACCAACTTTTTGCTGCTGCACACAAGAAACCTGCCAACTGCAAATGGGAAGAGTCTGTCCCCCCTGCACACTCACCACTTACAAACAACTTCAGCGAGGAGAGTCCCTCTTGTGAGAGAAACATCCAATTTAGAACAAAAAGCAGCAGAGAGGGCAAGCCAGGAGGAAAACAATAAAAGAGCACTTTTTCTTGACAATCCGTTGGCACATCAGCACGGGAATCACTTTCAGCACAGCCTGAGACAAGCACAGGTGACCCACAAACACCTGCTCCCTGGGCAGGGAAAATGGACTGCCAGTTTTCCTTCTCCTTCTCGGAGCTGCCTTTAGGGGGTTGTTTTTATGAGGTTTTTTTTCATTTTCTTGCCTTGCCAACAGACACTTCTCCTCTCTGAACTAGAGCAGAAGGGTTAATGTGAACAGAGGCTGCAGTGTGGGCAGGTCTATCTGTTTGAACAGCAGTGCACAGAGAGTGGCACTGCTGACCAAGGGTTCCAGCCCCTACAACCCCTCCTGGACCCAGCCCAGGGGCACAACCCTGACACCACCAAGCTCCACTGCAACATTCTCACCAACTCTTGCAGGCACAAATGGACCAGGTGACCAAACACTGCAAGATCAGGGCCTTACATATGAGTGGTTTCCCACGAGCAATTTCAAAGCCTACAGAAATGTACAGAAACTAAGTTGCCAGGACCTCCTGTTTCTCCTCAAGTAACCTACATATTACTTGAACATGCAGGGTCTGGAGCTCTTTTTTCCTTTCTCTTATTCCCATCCTCCAAAAAAACAACAACAGCTGCTAGTTAATGGGAAACAGGAACATAACCCTGCAAGCCTACAAACTGTCCCTGACTTTTGCAAGCTCTCCACTAAAGATGTTCTTAAATATTCAAAAGACCTTTATAAAGCATTCAAATATTTTAGTACTAATGCCTACACACAGTGCCCTCAGGCCTGCTCCTTTAGGGTGCTGAGGGCTTTCCAGTCCTGTTGGTTTTGGAACAATCAGTGGTTCTGTGTCAGCCCTCCTGGGCATGGAATTCCACTACATTTGTTTGTCAGTTGGTTCGTTAGCAAATATTGCTAATAAAGAGTTCAGAGTAAATGGAACATAGAAAATAGCAACAAATATGACTTGCATTGATTGATTTTCCTTCCTCATTTAAGCAAGACAGGCTAAGCTGCCTGCCTCCCCAGACACTAAGCACAGCAGGAGCATCAGAGCTGCTCTTCTCTCACTCCTGTATGAGGTGCAGCTACAAGCCCAGAGCTCCAAGCCCTCTGATGGAGCCTGTTTTCTGCAGCTCCCAGCAAAACAGCCCAAACTCCAGAGAGTTTCTCCATGTCACAACCACCCATGCTGCTCCAAGACAAATCCCCTTCACCAGCCCCTGGCCGGGGTGGAGGGCAGGGGACCCAGCAGCACAGCACTAACAGTGCACAGTTTAACAGACTGAGATTTCATAAATCCTGCTGATTTAAAATGAGCAATTGAACAAACCAAACATTTTAAATAAATTATTTACCTCACTGTTTTTCACTGATGAAGAAGGCATGTGGTGAGAGGACAAGGGTTCATGGTTTTAAGCTGAAAGAAAGGAGATTAATTAGATATTGAGAATAAATTGTGAGGGAGGTGAGAGCCTGGGACAGGCTGCCCAGAGAAGCTGTGGCTGCCCCATCCCTGGGGGTGTGGAAGGGCAGGTTGGATGGGGCTTGGAGCAGTCTGGGCTGCTGGGAGGTGTCCCTGCCCATGCAGGGGGTGGGAATAGATGGTCCCATGAAGGTTCTTCAGACCCAACCCAGTCTGGGATTCCGCCCGTTGGCTTTTCCCCACACCCAGCCGCAAGCAGAGCCCGGGAACCACCCGGCACTGAAAGCTCCCTCGTGTCTCAGCCCCACTCGGCAG